ACCATCTTTGTAGCTTTTGTTAACATAATCAACATAACGGGACGACGGCATCTTCCGGCTATTGGTTTTATCAAAAATGATGGTCTCTATGTCGTGTGGTTTTGCTCAGCATCATAAACCCGCGTATCAAATCACTCCTTGAACTCAAGTATGGGCGATAAACATTTTGAGGATCTCACAGGGACTTATTCTGACGAGCCCAGCAAAAAAACACCTGGTATCTAGGACTACTGCGGGTAGTCTCCTGACACTTGTATTTCGTGTGGGTTGACCTTGTCACACGGCTATGGCATATCCTCGATGCCACATCTTTTCCATGTCCATTGGTGTGGAGGCAATACTGCACAAGCTCCCGCCCTCCCATGTATACACACTCTGACATTCCGGTGTTTTTTTGTTTTGAAGATCCTTTGAGCTTGAATTCCTACTGACGGCTTTGGAAAAGTGCATACTACTGCAAGCTCATTGTTTTCGTTGATGTCCCCTTCAGCTTGTTCAAAATACAGAAAAAGCGCGACTCCTTCATAAAGACATTCATGTTAGATGGCCTATAGAGCCGCAGCATATGCTTGGAAACCCAACATATCCTCAATGGAGTCCTTTAGAGTCATCTGGAGCCCACAAGTTTAACTTTGCTGATTCCTAGGGCTCCTAAAGCAGTTTTGGTATTTCATGAACAAACATCTGCATCCACATGTATTCGGCTTATACGGTGGGACTTTAAAATCCGAGAGTGAGACCGTGGTCTGCAACTAACCTTCCAACCTTGTTCAGTTCACGTGCGGATTCTCCGTCAAAAAATGTCATTTTCAGATATGTTACCAAAAAATTGTGCTTTCATTCGCTTCATTATATCATCATATGACTAGGAGAATAGCAGATGCCGCAAGTGTGAGTTTTGAGAACCGACTGTGGCTACCCACAACCGGACCAAACATCTTATCAGACAGACTGAGTGAGAGTTCGTTATTTGCCAACCTGCAGTAGAAGTCCTGCCCCCCCACATAGCACACGTGGATGGATGTATACCTAGTATACCGCAATATCGACACCCTGTAAGTAATACATGTATTCTCCAACCCTGATTTCATATTCCTCACTGCCTCCCAGTCTGTAGTGTCAAGCATGTGCACGCATATCTTCAAGACAGCATCACCAGACTTGTTCCTTTTCGTGTTTTCTGCCCGTATATGTAAGATAGATAACTTGTGGAAGCGTGTTTCTCGGGTTGCATAAGTTACGACTCTCTGCCATTGGTGTTGGAACGGACATGCTATCACTGTTACCCTAAATGATATGTGGGACTGTTGTTTCGCCTTTGATACAGCAGTGATTCCGAAAGTTTAGTTTTCTCGCAATTCATTCGAGACGTGAGTATGAACATCCTTGGATGTATTCGTTTGTTGGCTTGACGAACTTGCACTTTTTCAATTTGAGATGCACGATGACAATTCTGGATTGTAACCTTGCCAACATCATATGACATAGTGGTGCATCCGGGAAGCGAAGCCTTCTGAATATGCTACCGCGTTGAAAACAAATATGATTACTCCTGGAGCCGACTTCACCTGCAAAATGGTGGGACAAGTTTAAGATTTAAATTGCCTGATGAAGCAATATTCTTGCGCACTGTGCGTTCTAGGTCTAGTATTGTTGCGGTCCAAAGATAAGACACCCAACTTGTGTCATTTATTAAATCAGTCAGACAAGTAAGAGAAAGCAGACTGCAAAACAAGTTGCGCGAACGCAAAAGATACTGTAACGCGTAACGCTGAGAGTTTGTTGCACCTTATAATTCAATGTTTAGAATCCGAGCGCGCGGAGATGGGCACAGGTGGATATATATGCGAGTCCGGGATCGGG